CCTTTCCTACCCAGCACATTGATGCAAGATCTCAGCCTCCACTTCTGTTTAATAAAGTATTTAGCTACATTCCATATCACTTGTTTCTTTGAAACAGTAACTTGCAAAGTAGAACATTGCTTCCAAATTATGAACCTATTGCATCTCTTCAGCAATACTTTAATAATAACAATAGCTTTAATAATAACAATAATAAATTAACAATAGCTTTAATAATAACAATAATAATAACAATAAATAAATTAAATTTGACAAATAAGACTTTTCTCCTTCGCAGCAACACTGTGTAGCACTTACTTCAGGTAACCCTGGCCCAAATTGACTGCTCCTTTCCTGTTAATGGAACAGTTGAAGGTGCCCTTAAACTAGTTCTGAACTATCCTTGCTCTGGGGACAGCCSTGTAATAGTGAATAGTCTAGAAACTCCTTTGGCAATTTATAGACCGCGGTGCCAGTGGACCAGATTAAACTGGGGGCAAGACACGAGGCAGTGGCAATGACTTTATATTAACCATCCTGCTACGTAAACGTGGTAACCAGCAAAATCCAATTAGGGATACAGGTATCCTTGAGGTGCAGTGTCTTTTTTCCGTTGTGTGAAAACTATTGCAAGCCTAGCAGGATGTCTGTATACATCTGCATTACTGAAATCTAATTCAAAACAGGATTCTGACCTGTTAATCTGGTTCTGCCTACACAAATCCACTCACCAGACAAATTTAGTAGCATTTATCACAAATTCACCTGACATAATGCAACCAAACACAACAAAATTATCATATCTATCAAACGAAAAATAGTTTGCCTGCCTTTTTTTTCCTCCCTAGTCCTTGAATATGTTTGTTGTCCTTATAAACTAAGCATATTAATACCGCTTAACACTCACTAAGCCAAAGCAAACTAATTACGCTTACAGCTGTGTGGAGAAGTCACGTACAACAAGACAGAGACAGACTGAATGTAATGATTTAATAATCATCCTTTCCTAGGAGCAGAGCTTCAGTCGGCTTCTCAGGAAATTTAATTTCTGCTTGATTTACCTGATAACACGTATGTTTATSTGTATTGGCAGGCTGGAAGGTCACAGTTCAGCTGTACCAACAGGGCTGTGTTTTTAGGCATTTCTGATCAGGGATAAATGTCACTTACCTTCTAGTTTCCAAAGTCCCCTTAAACAAATACTGTGTTTCTAATCAGCAGGAATTTAAGAACAAAAGCTTTCCACTTAGATGCCACTTGAAATTTAACAAGATTAGTTATGCTTCTCATTTTCTGGCTCTTATTAAATGCTTTAAAGCTGTTTATTAAACTCAGAGAAATATCTATATAAAGTAAATCCTTCTTCTACATTTATATCACTTAATTTAAAATGCTATACTTCTYTTCTCTTCTTCCTGCAGCTAAATATATATATTTTTTTCAAAGTCAAGACAAAAAGCATAGTCAGGATGTTTTTTGATGCTTCATGAAAGGTTACTTTGGAGGCTGCTTCCTTCCTTTCTGGCTTCAAGGAATATGGCAGCCTTCATATTCAATTGCTATATAAATTATTTTTAAAATGCATGCACGTAGCAGAGCCTTGAATTTAGGTTGCACCTGCAGCTCCTCATGCTTCTTTGCCCATATGTCTGCACATTGAAATCAAGGATGAACTTTCCACCTCTCCCCYTTTTTTTTTTCTTTTGTGCTCTGACCAAAATACAAATGTCTCGGTATAATTCTGAGAATGAGCTACAAAATGAGAAACTGATGTCAAGTAGTCAACAYGCTTAGCTGGGAAGAAAGGACTTTTCAATTCTCTTCCAAAATACTTGTATTTCTAGCCAGTGACTGTTACCTGAAATGTACAGATAGGAAAAAAAATAAAGGAAAAAAAAAAAAACCAGTAAAATCATCTATCTGAAAGTTTCAATCACTAGAATAGATAGTCTATCTATTTTCTCATCCAGATGTATTTGTGAGTGATGTTGCAGCCTTTTATCTGTCACATTACTTCAAAATAAAAAAGAGCACTCATGAAGCATATGTTTAACAAGTCCTAAAACCAACAAGAAACAACCAAAGAAAGCAAAAAACATCAAGAACAAAAAAGGAAAAAAAAAAAAAAAAGAGAGAAAATAGTGCCATACAGGTACCATAAGCTCAAAGATCTTAGAAAGGGAGCTGGCTGCAGGTGAAATGAGGGGCCCTCCTGAGCACAGTGCTTCTCTTTTCAGTACTCTGAGAAATCCTAATCTGAGCTTTCCCCTTGCTGGATACAGGGAGCCTAGGAACACACGACATGGAATGARATCCCTAAAAGTTAACTTTAATACCCAAACTGGGGGCATCTATTTTTWTCCCCAAGGTGTAATCCCCTAGGATGAGGCTTCTCCATCCTAACTTTCAGCAACTAAGCTGAACTAAGCAACTAAGAAGTAGGTATCTAATCTAAACTATATAATCTCCTTCTCAACAMAGGCTGTAGCTAATCAGCCTCAGGCAGCAGTTCAACTGACCTAGTTTAAATGTCAATTTTTTTAGATGGAATGAATTATCTGTGTCCCTGTCCTCTCTCTCTCTCTCGGAGCTCTCTTACCTTGCTTCATTAACTGCAAATAATGCCTAGACGGCCAATTTAAAGCAGACAACTAATTTTTGGGTGGCTAATGCAAAGTATTCTCAGAAGGTCTCTCAAAGTGCATGCTCAGAAAAAAAAGCATCTTGGCTTGCGGGATGTTTTACTGATGACCACGCCAGAGAATTCCTATAGACGAAATAGGAAACTCATCTCTAACAGYGACAATCATAAAAATCCTCTTTAACAATTTGCAAGACGAGGCCATTTTCTCAGCCCTAATCTATATGTGCATYTAGGCAGCTATTGCCACCATCTGCTTAGAAATACTCGCGTGAGATTAGTGACRATGTCAAAGATGCTTCATTTCCACTCCTTAAAAGGCCACATTCCAGTTATGACAGAGACGATAGCCACATAGTTTGGGTCTTGAATAATATTGTGCYGAAAGACTCCAAAATAAAGGTCTGTCACTGAGATTTACACTGCTGCTTTTTCAAAGGCAATATTTACAAACTCATTCAGTTGGAGGGTTGCCTGTCATCAGCTTGTAAACCACATGAGGTAAGGGGAGCAAAGAGGAAATGCTCAGTGATGGACACAAGCAATTTGAAATGAACAATTTCCCCATCTTTTGGGGATGGAGAAAGTGCCGATTCACAGAACCCGGCATCCTTCAGCACACAAATCAATATCACATCAAGTCTGCATAAAGCGTGCAAAGAAGTCCTTTTTGGAGGGGCTACATGTGCTTTTCCTCTCGCTGCACAGCCCCAAAGCTACAATCTGGTGCTTACAGGAGCAGGTGGTGCTCAATCCTAACAACGCGAGCTGACCGCATATTGTGAGAGTGATGGACGTCGTCTCCACCTCCTGTCCTTTGCAGCTTTCCTGAAGAACCTTTGTCAGAAGACAACTAAGTCAGCGTGAGAACAGACGTGCCCTGCTGAAGGGGAACGTGGGGGAGGCATTTCTGTGCAGCTCACTCTCCCTGTAGAGACATTTTTGATGATTTTGAAAATTTTGATGATTTTGATGTCAGC